CTCTCTCACTCTCTCACTCTCTCTCTCTCACTCCCCCTCTCTCCCTCTCTCCCTCTCTCCCTCTCTCACCCTCTCACCCTCTCACCCACTCACTCACTCACTCACTCACTCTCACTCACTCTCACTCACTCTCACTCACTCTCACTCTCACTCTCACTCTCACTCACTCTCACTCACTCTCACTCACTCTCACTCACTCTCACTCACTCTCACACACTCTCACTCACTCTCACTCACTCTCACTCACTCTCACTCACTCTCACTCTCACTCACTCTCACTCACTCTCACTCACTCTCACTCACTCTCACTCACTCTCACTCTCTCTCACTCACTCTCACTCACTCGCACTCACTCGCACTCACTCGCACTCACTCTCACTCACTCTCACTCACTCACTCACTCACTCACTCACTCTCTCACTCACTCTCACTCACTCTCACTCACTCACTCTCACTCACTCACTCACTATCTCACTCACTCTCTCACTCACTCTCACTCTCACTCTCACTGTCACTCTCACTCTCACTCCCACACTCGCACTCGCACTCACACTCACTCACTCACTCACTCACACTCACTCACTCACTCTCACTCACTCACTTTCACTCACTCACTCACTCACTCACTCACACTCACACTCACTCACACTCACTCACACTCACTCACTCTCACTCACTCTCACTCACTCTCACTCTCTCTCACTCTCACTCACTGTCACTCTCACTCACTCTCACTCTCTCTCACTCACTCTCACTCACACTCTCACTCACACTCTCACTCACACTCTCGCTCACGCTCTCACTCACGCTCTCACTCACTCACACTCTCACTCACACTCTCACTCACACTCTCACTCACTCTCTCTCTCACTCTCACTCACTCTCACTCACTCACTCTCACTCACTCACTCACTCCCTCACTCCCTCACTCCATCACTCCCTCACTCCCTCCCTCCCTCCCTCCTTCCCTCCCTCACTCACTCACTCTCACTCTCACTCTCACCGCTCACTCACTCATTTTGCGTGGCAGGCGTGGGACTTGGTGCACTGCAAAGGGGTCGGATGTATGCCCTGGCGTCCCTCTGGCGTCCCTCCGGTGTCCCTTGGTCTCCGCCGCTCTGCCGGTGGCTTTTGCGTGGCAAGCGTGGGACTTGGTGCACTGCAAAGAGATCGGATGCACGCCCTGGCGTCCCTTTGGCGTCCCTCTGGCATCCCTTGGTCTCCGCCGCTCTGCCTGTGGCTTTTGTATGGGAGGCGTGGGACTTGGTGCACTGCAAAGGGGTCGGATGTACGCCCTGGCATCCCTCTGGCGTCCGCCGCTCTGCCGGCGGCTTTTGCTTGGGGTCGGGTGTAGATGTTGTAGTAGTAGATGTTGTAGTAGTAGTAGTAGTAGTAGTGGTAGTGGTAGTGGTAGTGGTAGTGGTAGTGGTAGTGGTAGTGGTGGTAGTGGTGGTAGTGGTGGTAGTGGTGGTAGTGGTGGTAGTGGTGGTAGTGGTGGTAGTGGTAGTAGTGGTAGTAGTGGTAGTAGTGGTAGTAGTGGTAGTAGCGGTAGTAGTGGTAGTAGTGGTAGTAGTGGTAGTAGTGGTAGTAGTGGTAGTAGTGGCAGTAGTGGTAGTAGTGGTAGTGGTAGTGGTAGTGGTAGTGGTGGTGGTAGTAGTAGTGGTACTAGTAGTAGTAGTAGTAGTAGTAGTCGTCGTCGTCGTCGTCGTCGTCGTCGTCGTAGTAGTCGTCCTTTTGCGTGGCAGGCGCGGGACTTGGCGCTAGAAAGATAGAAGGATAGATAGATAGATTGACAGATAGATAGATAGGTAGATAGATAGAGAGATGGATCGATAGCTAGATAGACGATTAGTTAGATAACATCCGCATGTACATCACATATATTACAAACTGCCTCTTACACCCGGCACACATATCGTTAACACACTACCAAAGTGACACACCTGTACATGCACATACATACATACATACACACAAACTCATCCACCATCACCCCTCCATTACTCTCATCCTTCCTCTTCCCTTGTTGCTTTTCTATGCTCAGTCTAAGTCTGGTGAAGTTGTTAACATGTGGGGTTATCCGGTCCTATAATTTTTCCTTTCGCTCTTCCTCTCCCTTTTCATGTTCCGTTCCCATCCTTGTCCTGTTTCAAGATTGACTATGGCCCTCAGATGGGGGGTTCTGAAACTGGTCTGAAATCAGTCTGAACCTCCAAAGCAACCGTGCACCCACCATCCCTCCTTACCTGTGATCATTATACAGCTAAAGGATGCTAAAATCTAAATCTAGAAGAAAACAGGACATGGAAAGGACGCTGAGAAAGACACATAATATTTGAACCCTATAGAACCCTATAGAACCCATAGAATTCAATGATGAATCAATAATTTCCTATCGCAACGTGGGACAAAATGACCGTTCCAATTCATTCCAATTCAAGGCGGAAAAAATGGACATCATGACGCCATCTCACTCTTAAGCATATCGATCAAAAAACAAACAAATGAATAAATACCATGAAAAACCAAGGTGTCGCTCTTGGCGTTGGAATCTAGTTTGAATCGCATTCAAAAGAGTTGAGCCAGTCTAGCACAAGTACCACGTGTTAGCATTTCCAAAGTTTGCAGTCTTGACAGTGTTCTGTCTTGCGTTTCTCGAGGTAATTAATTTCAACAATTGTGAAGTTCGGTGTTACGAAGGGATGCTGGTGTGACAGGGGTAGCCAAACATGCATTTCATATCGTCAGTTGCAGGTACTGTAAACTTCTGCACCGTCTGCCGAAAATGTCAGATATGGGTCCAACTATGGGAAGAAGTGTAACGAAGCAGAATCTTCGACTATCCTGGCAGGTTCTGCCACAGAACTGAAGTTGAGGATGTGAGAGTGAGAGAGACCTTCATATTTGAACAAAGAGTTCAAAACTTTGGAGTACAGAAAGGTGTCTGAAATCTAGGACAGCTGTCAGCTGTGATGATGACTGTTTTTTGCTGCAGAGATACAAAGGGCCCAGGTGCACTGCAAACTTTGTCAGCCTATGGCATGACGGCATGACCAACATCTTGGAACACCAAGGCATTGGCTGATGGGTGGCGCTTCTGTTCCAATGGGATGTCGCAAGTTGAGCTGCACCTGAAAAGACATCACACACATCCGCAACCAGCTTGGTTTGATCAATCTTTGGAACAGGCATCACCTTAACCATGGTACTTGCTCACCCTTCTTTGAAGCCATGGATTCGAGCTACGTGTGGACGGAAGGGCAAAAACCTAGTCAATATGTCAATATGTTCAAAATAGTTCAATCATCTATAGAATCTATAAGCACAATCTTTGAATATATGTTGATTTAATGTTGTCTAAGAAGTCTTGGAGCAGCTCTGGCACCAGCTTCAGAAGGTTGCTGCTCTGCGTATGCACGCGTAAGTGTCGCGGAAAATCGTCGAACTGCTTTCAGTGCGCCAGTTTCTTGGTTTTTTCCAATGATCGGCCTTCATCAAGGTAGGTGAAGATGTATTGCCGGGCATATTTACCTCTCTCATCATCAAAGAAAACCAACAATTGGATGATTTTTGTCTTGATTTCAGTTCGTCCGATCCAATCTTGCCCCCTTAAAGACCCCCAGATTTTTTCCAACCGCTTCCAACCGTCGGGTGACCACCACTGCGGTCCGCTGTTCACCTCAATTTGTCGCCAACGATTTGGGCGGGGCCTGCAGTCATTGGATCAATTGAGATAATTGAGATGATGATGGCAGTAATTTGTGAAAACAGTGGGAAGAGTCACCAGTGATTTTTACACGGCGGAAAGTAAGAACTGGGGGGAATTGCACGGAATCGACATGATCGTGCCAGTGGAAGAAGCGCGCGGTAATGTCTTGTTTTAGACTATGACTTTTGGGGAAGAATCAGCAGCAAAAAACATCCGTAACTTGCCAATATCTGAACGGGCTTCATACTGCTGATAGAAATGGGGCATCTTAAACCAACTCCCCGAAGCTTCAACGGCTGCAAAGGGGGTGATTTTCCGTGATTTCCAGCTATGATCAGATCATCAGTTTGGAATAAGAATACAGCAAGATATCAAGGTCATAAACAATATGTATCAATATGTATCAATATGTTACATGTCACAACTGAAAACCCAGATATTTCCCTCAAAAAAATCCGTCCAACTGCCTTGGGCAAAATCTTGGAAACCTTCTGGATGGATCCGAGGTGTAGATATGGGGCTTTTCTTCCAATGGGATCCCCAAGTCACCATGGGTTTCACTGAGTCATGGTCTGTTGGATGATTTGGGCTCACCAAACTCCAGTGGTTTTTCGAAAATGATGTCCTCTATCAATAGCCACTTGGCGTATCCAGCATGTTTTGGCAAACCCAAAGAAAGGAAAAATGCCAGATATATCCTGTTTGGGAGTTGTTGATACGGTAAACCAGAACAAACCAGCAAAAAAAAGCTCTACCCAGAAATAAACCTCCAATTGGGAGATATTGGGGTTGCCAATTATTGCCCAAGAATCTGTGGATGAACTAAACTAACAAACTTAAGCGTTTCAGAAACGGGTTTCTATCCCGTTTGTTTATGGTCATTCGAATGACGTCCGGCTTGGGATGGTTTACGATGGTTCGAGATCCGATTTGCCCAATGGATATGGCTTCAAAACAATTTGGCCTTCAAAAAGGTAGGTGAACATAACGTCCAAAATGAGTTTGTTGATTTTTAGGAGCTTTACCAGGGGCACGTGGCTTTTATCGAATGAGCAGCTGTACGGCTCAGAAGGGCCTAAAGTTTGGCAATGGAACCATTGAACTTCAACTGGACCTAGATTCCAATGATTTGAGGCATTTGGTGATGCCATGGCGCCATGATTCTTTGAGGGGATGAATATGAGATAATAAGAGCATATGCAGTTAATATGAGTACTAATGGAGTTCACCAGCTTGTTTTGGATGCATCGCCACATTTAAGCTCCACTAAAATTTCACGTCGGAGCGTCAATTTCTCCACTTCGGGACCACCAAAATCACCACAGCTTTAGCTTTCCTGGCCTTGATTTCCAAGGCGCGAAAGGGGGTGATGTGGTGACAAGAAAATATCGAGATTTCCTTTGAATTTTCCCTTCATCCAATTCTGGGAGCCTTTGGAGAGTTGACTGTCATGTTGGGTTTGTTTTCACTGGGTTACTGAATGTTTCCAGAATCTCCATGGAATCCTCAGAAGATGTGATTTTTGGAGTTCGATCTGCCAGGTGCTCAATGCAGGCGTCACACGCGCAACCCGGAGAAACCCAGAACAGCCAAATTGGACTTGGGCCGGAAGAAACTACGATTCCTGCATCGTTTTTGGTGTTTTTGGGATGAACAGCAATTGACTCATGACATGGCTATGGATGACCCATTGCAAGGGATGCCAGCACCAATCCACTTGTTCTTCGCTGTGAAAAAGTCACAGGTGACCAATGAGGAGTTGGCCAACAAGGCGGATCTGGGTAGCTGGTTTGGTGCTTCTATAAGCAAACATCTGGACAGAATGACAATGGGACAATGAGTGTTTTTTTTTGCTGTTTTTTGCCAACTCAATTTGAGTTGTGTTCGCCCCCAGGGGTGATTTAAGGTTGATGAAGAGCTCAGGGGAAAGGGATCAAGATATGTCAAGATAGCCGACGCTGTGTGTTTCCAGCATGGCCAGGGATTTTCAGGAATAGAACCAGGCCCAGGATCCACTTGTCAGATTTGCAGCCAAGTAGATCTGAAGGGGAGCAAACCAGACCTGATTTTACAAGGTTGCAAGCATCATCTCACGTCTGTCAGGAGGAAGATGTTGGTATGCATAGCCTGATATAGGTTGAAGGTTGACAGGGTGGAAATGAGGGTAAACAATGTGCGAAACGCTGTGCGTCGCGACTTTTGAAAGCTTCGAATTGCAGACAACTCATTTTAGGGGTACTCGCGTAGTACCAGCTACGTTGATCCATGTGTTTGAAATTGGGATACCACCAGGTCTTTCAAAGCGTCTTGGATGATCATCCCAGACAAGTGTTTCGCAACATGCTTCCCATCTACAGTTGTTAAAACCGCCCAGCAGATGATTCTTCAAGAAACACATCAAGAAACAACCATAGTATCCCACTATCACCGCTTCAGTCCAGTCCAGTGGCAAATTCCTCGCCAGGTCGCCGAGATTACAGTACTGCGGAATCGGATGCAACAGATGGAGCGGGAAAACCTGCGATTGGAAAATGCCACCTGGCATCGTAAAAACACCGTTGGAAAGCCATTTGAGAGATGTTGAGAGTCATGTTTCATGTGGTAAACCCAATATCACCAGAAATGGGTGGTATAAATCCTCCAAAAATGCTCTGTTTATAATGCTTGTTAATACTTGAATAGGCATTTTGGGGGTATCTGCCGTATTCCACATTCTGAGCTGGTTGCAGATGGAGATTTCAGGCGCAAACGATGGGAGATTCACCTATACAAAATGGAGAAGAAACCACCAAGAATTGGAAGTTTGCTAGCAGATGAGGTCTAAACCGCAAAAATGGAGATGTTCACTTGCAAACTTGGGAATTTGAGCAAAAGACAGGGGATATCAAAGTCTCATGATGCTGAGGATATGTGGTTTTTACCGAACACGAAGTGGAAAAATACCACTTGAATCTGGAACAATCCTACAGGCGTGCCCACTCGCCCAAAATGGCAGGTGATTAGCAGAATGGCTCAACTGTTTCGCCTGGAACGGAACAAGGAGGATTTCTCCATTGTCCTATGTTTGTCCCATGGTTTTCCTGTGATTTTTCCATTGTTTCTCATGGTTTTCCCATGAGATGTTCCCATGACCTATCCCGAGGAATTGGCTCAAGCCAAGGCGCGCTGCTGGGATGCTGTGCCATGGTTTTTCGTTCACCAAAGTTGGAGATGTGAACATCCAAACCATGGTTTTACTGACAGGAAATGGAAGATTTAGGGATTTCTACTGTCATTTCCAAGGGATGAACCAACAAAAGCAGTTCAATCACTCATAATCCCAACAGATCCAACAAAAATGAGGGATTGAACGTCGAACATGGAGACTTCATCAAGAACGATCCGGAAGAGGGGTACAAAGGCATTGCCTTTTTTTCGGAAGATGGATCATTCCAAAAATGACTAGATGAACAATGTGGCAAACCCAATGCCACAAACTATCGGATTAACCAACCATGACTGGTGGTCATTTTGCATCATCCCAATGCTAAGGGTTGGTATGGTATAGTTCCTCTGTTTTGAGGCACTTGGCACCAGGGTTTAAGTACCGCTTTTACCGGTTTTACCCTATGTCTGATAGGAAGAACTCCCTGAAATGTCTAAGATGACCCTGAGATCCTCCCATCTGGTTGCGCAATGAGTTCAGGAGAAGGGCACGCAGCCCAGCCAAAGAAGCAGGGAGAAGGTTGACCTGGAAAGGGCCAATGAACAACTGCAGCAGCTTGGAAGCAGATTTGTTCGACTTTACTTGCAACAGTTCATGATGGTAGAAGTGAATACCTGAGTTGGTTTCAGCACCCGAGGTATCTGCGACAGGACTTGCTGAGTTCTGACGATGAGCGAAAGCGACTGAAGCTGACCCTGCAAAGCCAAGAACAGGACGCACGCCCAACGATTGCTGTTTCAGCAATGGGGTGAACTCGCTAACCGACCAGCTGCGTGCTTCAAAAAGGGTTCCCATAAAAAATCGAAGAACGAGCCACAATGATTCAGAAATCTGTTGAACGAATCCTTTATATCCATTTTTGTGTTGGTCAAAGCTGTTTGTTGCTTCAATCAATCCCGATTTCTATCCCTCAAATCCAACCCGCCAACCAGTTTCCGTTTGTCAAATCGTCCATTTGTCTTGCTCCCGCTGTGAAAGGAATTGCTGGTGCTGCGCCAGCGAGCGGAAGAAGCGAGGCAGGGCCGGCTTTGTGGAGTTTCATTTCTACCAACTATTTATTCAAAGCCATTGGCAAACCCTGGTTAGGCAGGTTAATGCGTTAAAATTGTCTGGTAAATTTTCTGAGGTAAGGTTAGCCCTGAAGAGACCGTAGCAGTGGCACCTTCACAGAGATATCCCTGTGAGACTCGATTTGAAACCCGTTGGTTGATCTCCTGTGGCGGTTCAAAATTCTCCTGTCATGTCACCCTCTGAGGCCAGCTACACCAGCGGCTACGCCAGCGGCTGCGCCAGTGGCCGTGCCAGTGGCAGCGGTGGAAACAAGGCAAGAGATTCTATGAAATGGAACCCGAACGTTCAGCGGGATTATTGATGGAAGGTAAATGATGATGTCCAAATATTCAAGGACATCAAAGGACTATGAATCGGATGTTAGGGAAGTATTGGATGCATTCTGTTTCTGGACTGTTTAGGAGTCAGAGATGAGATGTACAAGGGATCTTTATTCAGTAGATATTTGCAAGCAGCCAGGGTTCTTATGGAGTTACTGTAAGCAAAGACGCCGTCAAGATCGTTTCATGGTCTACTTTGTGGGGAAACCAAATGTCCAAGTCTGTTTGGAACTCTGTGGTACCAAGAACATCATGCCTCCTGGTAGATGAATCATCTTGTTTCCACCATCATAACATCTCTGTTAGAATTATCATCATATCAAATTATATCCAACAGATGATACAGATGAGTATCCCCAATTTTCTTATTTTTGATAAACCAATGATGCCAACGAAGCCATCGACAGATTGGTCGGCCGGGCTCAGGCCTGCCCCAGCACCTGCTGCGCCGCCCGCCGCTGTGGTGCAACCGGCCACGGTAGCGTGAGCAATGCCCAGTTTGATGGTGGATGGTCGGGTGATGGGGATTGAACCCACCAAAAAAATGGAGATTTCAGCAAACATCATGAGTTTAACCAGCAAAAATCATGGATTTCACCAGCAAAAAGTTGAATTTGACCAACCAGAATGGAGTTAACCCACCAACATGGTGATACAATCCAAAAGTGTTGTTTTTGTTGAAAAGTGGAGCCCGAGACTGCTTTAATGGGAACCCCTCAACAAATAGTATGGGGATGACAGGGTCAACTGGCGTATCTCCCATGTCACAATGTTTCATCGTCTTCCCAAACCCCTTGGGGGTTGCAGAATAACCTCAAAATCCCATGGTCTGTCATCATTTTTCTCGTTAAAACAAAGAAACTGGGAGTATCCCGCATTTTGGACACGGCCTCTGGTGATGAATCAGTCACCAAATCATGGAGAATCAACTTTTGGGATATCCCCAGGCGAAGCGAGCCACAGGATGAAGCCAAAGGCTACCAGGGCTGGGCTGTGGGAATACTAAACCAATACGTAACCATTAGTTAAACCATGGCTAAATCTAGTGGATTATATATGGATTATGGGAGTTTCAATTCTATTAGAGACTTCTAGCATGCACGTCCAAGTACCCGCAACCTAAGTGGTCCATCGAGAGTTTACTTTTCACAATTTTGACTTCATTGCGAAGTGGCTCCACTGATAGGGAAACATGGGAAGTCATCCCCAAATTGCTGGACTTTTCAGTTGACATATTCTTGCATAATTTTCAATTTGGTCATTTGGTCAGTCTGATGGTGGGTCAGGCTTCAACAGCAGTGCCATTTCATAGGACTACCAAGAAATGGAGCAACCAATATGACTTGACCAAGAAACCATAGCTACAAATGACCCAGCAGAGGGCGATCGAAGGGCGGTTTGGACGCATCCTTGCAAAGTATCTACTGCTTTGTTCAACCGCAGGAAATGATCCCACAGTCGAGGTGTTGACTGATACGTTTGAACGTCATCCAATAGTTGATGATTCAATCACCAGTTCAATTGGTTCAAATTCCATCTTTGGATATGTTTGGTGGATATATTCCTATTTTAAGCCAGTCCAAATTGACCTTTTTAACTCTGAATGGAGATCCTCAATCATATTTATCCATCCTGGTTGACTCTACATAGTGATGAGGTGTGCAGTATAAAAACCCATGAAAACCTATGAAAACCCATGGTTTTTGGAGGGTTTTTGGAGGGTTTTTTCGGATGCTTCAAAATCCCCCATTGTTTTTGTTAGTTTTGTATCCGCTGCAGCAGGTCGGCTGCTCCTTCAGGAGCTGGCACGCTGGGAAACTCTGGCAGAAGAGCCACGGGATGCATGGTGCCATGGTGTTGAAAGGGGTTTGGTGGGAAGCATATGGAAAAATGGGATTTGGTGCTAAATCTGTTGGTTAAATCATGGCTAAATCTATTGGCAAATCATGCTAAATTTGTTGGTGACTATTTATCCAGTGGGTAAATGGGGGGTTCAACCAACAGAGATGGAGATGAAAAAGCACCAGCCATGATGGGGATCGAATAGATTAAATATGACCAACACAATGAAGGATATCCCATGTATCACCGTGTACACTATCCTCACTAGCTCGGATTTGTGAACTGGGGTATGCATGGGTATGCCACAATTTGTGGCAATAAAATCAGGCAAATAAGCTGTTCTTTACCATCAGGTTGGCAAGTGTTCATACGAACCCAGTGGGAATTTCAAGCGTGATTGACTTTTTGAGTGTCGATTTTTTGGGCCCAAAGTTGGGAATACTTTGAGCCTGAGAAGTTGATTTTAGGTTTTCGGTTTTTTTTGGGAAGAATAGCAACCGTGTTGTTGTTGATTTTTTTCCCCACATCACTATGTGGGGTTCCAACTGTTTGTTGATATATAGGTTTTTTCTAAAGTTGGGACCACCCACCTAACCTCATAAATCGGGTGTTGAATGGTTCTCCGGGTCTTGGAAGCAACCCAATGAGTTTGGGAGCCTTTTTATGGTGGGGCCCATTTTCCAAACGGCCGGTGGACAGTCTCTGTTGGGACTGAGGTATCAACTCAAAGTCGCTTGGCGAAGAACCTGCATGGAGATATCAAACCCGCTTCCAGGTCAATTTTGAGAGGTGTACCCGGCGTAATCATGGTGGGGGAGATTAATCATTTGGAATCCGCAAAGTTTGGGGATCTCATCCACTGTTCTTTTTTGAGCGATGGAAAATGACGCCATCGAGGCGTCATCTATCGGAGGCACCCGTTTTATGTTGCATCCGGCAGAGATGCACTATGTAAAGACACATCCTAAAAGGTGGAATGTGCTATCCAAATCACATCCAATGAAACGATATTAAGTCCACTTCAATCCAATGTTTCCGAAATTTCCTGCAACCAAAAAAAATCCCTGACAACTCCAATATATCCTCATTATGGCTAGACACTATTTGTATCTCCATGATGGGTTGTTGGTTGTATACTCCATCCAACCAAGGGGATCCACGCCAGTTTGAACTTAGGTCTTATAGGGGAGTTAACCCCAAGTTTACGGCCATGTTCATAAGAAAATCATGATGAACCCCCTGAACATTACTTTACAATTGCCATAATTTTGCCATCAACTTAACCTAGGACCTAGAATTACCATCAAATTACCATCCAATTACCATGAAATCCACCAGAAATCCACCAGAAATCCATCACTTCCTGGGTTTCCCAAGGCCGCCGTGAGCCGCTTCCCTGGCGCCGCCGCCGCCGCCACGGCGACGGCCAAGGTGCTGCGCGGCGCCGCGCCGTCGTCGCGGCGCCAGGCAGCGCGCGTGGTGCGGATGTGGCTGGGGCTGTTCCCCGGTCACGCCAGACGCCTGGCACAGGGTTGTTAGGTGCCCAATTTTTGTTACTTTTGAAGGCCAGGAAGTCATGTTGATGGCCATAGAATCTCCGATCATTGGGAAAATGTGTTTTTTCACAGTGGTTATCTTGGGGGTTCATGGCAAATTGAGGGTGCAAGAACCAAAATTGGGGAACATGTTCCGTAATAAACCTTGGAGGTTCACAAAAAAAGAAGTTGGGTTACCCCGCTGGTCATCAAATCTACAGGGTGGGCCCTTTGAAAGGTGATGTTTCTGGCCAATCATTGGGGATGGTTTATGTGATTTCACCAGGCTTTCACCAAGATTTTGATGTCACTGGATTGGTTTAAGGGAAACTTGAAACCCATTTTTTTAATGGTAAAAACCATGGTGTCATGTAGATGTTCTTAAACCAATCCAATGGTTAATGTCTTCGCCACGGTTTGCCTTCATGGCTTTCTGTTCAGCTTCAGCCATTTTGGCAACCGCCCCTCACGTCGCCGGGATGACGGACGTCTTACGCGATGTCTTTCACGCCTTCGCAGGCTGGGGGGCCCTGGTGTTTTTTCGTGCTCCCAAAATGGGATGTCATGGGCAAAACGGGGTATGCTGGCATTGGGTTTACCACTATTCGCGATGTTATGAGAAGGTTTGGGTTCGAGTTGAGCCATACCCGGACAATGGATATCTTAAACCATCTTGAAATCGTTGTTTTTGTTGCTTCAACATCCATTTTTATATGTTGATCAGACTCTCATTTGCTTCAAAGTCCTAGTCCTTTTTGTGGTTTGATTTGACACACGCATCGTTTATGGTTTTACCACCATAACCACTAGAAGCCAGAAATTTCTGAGCCATATTTGCATTTCTGTGCTAAATGGTAGGCTTTCAAATCGGTTTCCACTGGGTATAAAATCAGTTCCCCGCCGACCGCCAGGCGGAGTGGAGATGGACGGACGGTCCTTCGTGAAATGCCTCAAGGACGGACCAGCCGCTGCCGATAAGTTCTGGTTTCACAAAGCAGTAATGGAGGCTTCAAGGGCTGATGGCTTCAGCAGAAATCTGGCTTTCAATGCACTGAAACGGTGGGATTGAGTGACACAAAAATAAATATTTAAAGGACATATTTGCTGGCTATTATCATTATTAACCATTATTAATCACTGTATTAGCCAAAATCATCGGAATCAGAAAGCAGCAGTTCTGTGAGCCAGGACGCAGGGCTACTGGATGAACGTTTGAAGACAGTTCAGGCACCAGGGATATACGGATATATGACATATGAAGTGCGCTTGCCTTTGTTCATTTTCATATGACACACATATTGATAGATAATGATATAATAATATAATAAATGTTATATATAAATATATATACACATAACATTATATATAACATTATAGATATAAGATTATATACGTTGTATTATAATATATATATATATGTGCACCAGCTTTATTCATTTGCATCTCTGATCAGAAGTGGCTTGAGATCATCCAACAAGCTGCCTCTGTAAGGCTGACCTGATCTTCGCCCGGCACAAGCCCAAGGGCTCTCGAAGGATCAGCTACGATCTCTTCATCCAGGTGGATTATTGGGCGTTCAATGGTTAAATCACTATGGGATTATTGGGATTTCTACCACCATTAGTTGTATGATGATTGGATGATTGGATGATGTTTGAATGATGTTTGAATGATGTTTGAATGATGTTTGAATGATGTTTGAATGTTTGGATGACATCATGACAGGTTGGATCTGATGAATGTTGACTCTGGATAAGAATGGAGCTGCCATCAGGAGCAAATGAGATCATGTTTGGGGGGTGGGCCACGCTATGAGTTCAGCCAGGGTCAATATGACTGGCATCTAAAAAGAGCCTTGAAGCGATTCCATGTTATGCTTGGAGGTTGCAAACCTTGCCAAAGTCAGTTTTCAGTCTTTTGAGCTTTCTCTCTTTGCAAAAATCAGACCTCACTCACACAAAAAAATGCGAAAACACTCTGTCACACGGTATTTCATGCTTAAAAAAAATATCTTCAGCCCAGCTGTTTTTCAGGCTTTGACGGAAGTGGCCATGAAGCGCGACCTTCTCCCAGAGGAGGCGGGGATGGGACAACATCCCGAATCTCTTGTGGAAGTAAACTCCCAATCAACCACCGTTTGTTTTTCGACTTTTCACATGTTTGCTGGTTAAAGACCCAAATCTGTATAGCTCATTTATAAATCTTGTCATTTCCGAATATCATAAATAGTATGATTTTCTCCATTTTCTTGTTTGCTAATATCATAAATATTCTATATCTTGTGTAACCCATATCTTCTTACGACCCATAGTTTTGTTATATAAACGGTGAGTTTCCAATATCAAAAAAACATCACACATATGTATAACTCTTGTATATGATTCTTTGAGACCCCTATGGTGGTCTCCATAAATGCTACCCTCAAATCATCCATAGGATAAATGGGAATTCCATTATGAAGGTACCTTATAGGTACCATTTATGTATATCATTCCCAAATCATCCCATCTTCATAGGAATTCCGTTATATTGGGATGGTACCTTCATAGGAATTCCCCATGTTTTAATCATCCAGCTATGGGGGGTGGCCAGGCGGTGGACCGAGTCTGCCTGGCCCACGGCCCGGACTACGAGTCCGCGACCACGGCCTTCGAAGACGCGGCGGGGCCCGAGCGCTTCTTCTACGACAAGACGACCTACACAGGCGGGCCAGGGGAGAGCTGGGGAAATGGACAGATATGGTGGGTTTATGGAGATTGAATGATTTTGATATAGAGATCATATGAGGTAATTACCAATCATATTGAATATCATTTCAATGATAGAGGTAATTCTAAACTTGGGAAGCCCCAAATCATCCGGTCATGGATCATGGCTTGGTAAAGCCATGGTGACCTGGGTCACCTTTGGGATCGTTGGGAAATATGGTGAAACCACTGGAAAATGGGAATAATATCAACTCCCCAGTCATAATCTGATACTTAAATGGTATCCCTCCAATTAGTCACAACCGTTTGGGGTTTATTTATCCAGGGTTGACATTAAGCCAATGTGTGACCCCCGATCAATAGATTTGGCTTTGCCTTCCAAAGTGCCGGTTTTCGCCCTTATGAGAAACTATGAGTATACCGTATACCCAAAAAATGCAGATAGAAGCTAATTACTAAAGGTGCCAAAGATGCTGATGAAGTTGACACTCATCAGAGCCTGGTGCCAGCAACACAACAGGAAGCAACAGGAATGGTGGTGAAACGTTATATAACCAACGTAGAGAGCAAGAAACCAAGCATGATTAGTTGGTAACTCAACGAAAATTCAATGGTTTAGTCCTTGGGATAATGATACTCACAAATATTCTGGAGAAGCATTGAAACTTCCAACAAGATGGACCGGCCGGTCCTGCCCAGGGATGCACAAATGCAGTTCTGCTTCGCAGCAGTTGGTGATGAGGCATGGGGGGTTACCACGTGATTCACTGCACAAAAGGACCGGACCATGTGTGTTTTTGCTGATGACATCAAGATGTTAATCAAACCAACTGGTGTTGGTTGACCGCTGATTGTTCTTTTCATTTTTGCTGGTCGAGGCCCAGCCGTTCCAGGGATCTGCCCGAAAGTTGGGCCTCGCCTGAGGCGGGTCGGGAAAGTTGGGAAACTTGGGATTTAACGCAAAATGTGAATTGAACTAGCAGAAAAATTGATGATTTCAGGTTCAGAAGTCGTATTTGTTTAAAGAGCAAGACATATATGGAGATTTCAACAGTAAAGACTCAGTAAAGACTGTGAGTTGAGCAACAACAAGGGGGATTTGGATAAGGAAAGACGGAATGACCCCATCAAACAGGGGGGGGCAAGTCAGCCAATAGATATGTGGATATCACTAACGAAAGTGGGGAAACAGGCAGAAATAAATGGTGAACCTGGGGGTATGACGTCACAATTTATGGGTGCTCTCCAGATACCCTCCAGCAGGTTCCATGGATTTCTCCATGACCATGTTGGATTACCAGAAGGTTGAATTTCCATGTCAAGTGCACATCCCCACATCCCATGATTGATGAATTCTCCCATATAAATATGGTGAATTTAGGATGTTACCTTAATCAATTATCCCATTTACCATCCCATTTAGGATTATTTATTCATGTTCCCATTTACCATCCCATGATTGATCATCTAAGCTCCCCAGCTTTAAGCCCAAATTTAAACCATCCCTTCCAACCGGCCGGTGGTTCCGAAAACGATACAGGATTATGACCTGCCGAAGAGCGGCCCCGAGCGGTTCTACTACGATCGCTCCACATATACAGGTGATGGGATGGGCTGTCTGACAACCATGGTTTGCAACCCAATTTATGTAGATGGATTGTGGAAGCGATTGAAAACCCATAGATGGTGCATAATATATTCCTATCGTTCCTGAGAATTCCAGTGAGCTAATCCACTTCCAAATGGCATTACTCCACGACTTTCCAAACCGTTCCATGGTGAAGCGCGAGCGTTTCCTCTGTCCTCTGCCAGGCACCCACAAGAACAATGGCCCCAGCGCGGCCGGAAGCGGTGTCGGCAAGGCTTGATGTTGACGGTGAGGCTTCCCCTTTAGCAGACCCCAATTCGTGAAGGTGAAGGCCTAAATAGATACGGCTGAAAGATATGATGTCATATGATGTGTGCATATAATTCATATATGTGTATATACTGTATATACATAATTATGTCTAAATATATAATGCATTATAATACATCATACGTAAAATAGATCATATGCAGACATGTCCGGTACTGTACATGTTTGGAGAACGCTCAGAAGTTCCCCATCCCCACCTGCCAGGAGGGTTACAGCGACCTCAGTGTGTTGGTTCGCCGCGATGTGGTGCAGGCACAACGACAACCTCAGGGTTTTTTTCCCATCAAATTGGCCGGATTCCATCAAAAATCCTGTTAAAAAAATATATATAAACATCTATAAAAGTGGATGCTGGGCCACTTCCAGACTGCAAGATCGCCAAGAGTGATGGAAGAGGATCCTTAACTGAACATCGACCAAAACAAAGTCTTCCAATCTTACAGCAGCGACCATGACCGCTGATAGAAACAACCTCACCTGTCCTGGGGGTCAAAACCCAAGAACTGGTAATGTCAATGGTTCATCTGGTAGAAACCCAACCATAAACCCCGACTCTTCAGATATTGTTTTTAACCCACAATTGGATACAATTGGGTAAACTGATTTCCTGTTGGGTTTACCACATGGTACCTACCCATCGCATGCAGGACGATGTGCTGCAACGTCGCCGCAGAAGCAAGACCAGCAATTCTCCCAATGGCAGTGGGAGCGCAGAGGGTTGCGGCGGGTTACGGATGGGGTGGTGTTTTCGTAGCGATGTGGTGACCCCCAGGGATGTGAACTTTGGTTTAATAAACCCCATGAAGAATACTGATTGGTGGTTTAGAACATGTTTTATTTTCCCCAATAGTTGGGATGATGATCCAATCTGACTTTTATATTTTGCAGAGGGGTGGGTATACCACCAACCAGAATAGTATCAGGTATACCATAAAACCCAACAGTGATGTCAGTTATGAACGAATTTGTACACCCCATGAACCAGAAGGAACTGCCACTGCCGGTGATATGCCGGGCGACGGCCATATCTTTGCGGATGCGCAAATTGCACGTCATATCAGCTGCACATGTCAAAACTCACAAATCCATGTTCAGCAAATACATCTACGTATGCAGGTGCAGATACAAATGCAAATACAGATGTGTCTGTATATATATATACATATATATATATGTATATATA